GACTAAAGGATCATTAGGAACTTGGGTTTAGTCTGTTTCTGATATCACAAAATGTATTCATAGCATTAGAGTATTGAAGCTTAGGAGAAGAAGTAGCTCCATGACTTGAATGCTCATTGTGTTGGCCTTTCTAAGCTTTATGGATGTAATATGTATGTATTTCTTGTACTTTACACTTGCATTAATAAATTTGTTAGTTTTGCTTATTCAATATATATATATACATTGTTTAAGCAAGATTGAATGATATTGGGGTTTTAGGGATTAAAAATTGTTACAGATAAATTTGGTAATAATTAATTAAAGCAAATAAAATAAATAAAGGAACAACAAAATTAAATCTTCAGTACTTGTGCAGGTGGTTTATGAACGAGTTTGTGATTGAGACCAGTGTTTGAACACTGTGTCTTTAAGGCAGAATTTCATTCTCTCCAATGGTGCTTGAGAACAATGGACATCCTATCTCTAGGATACAACATTACCACAAATGAAGAGAACACACTCTTTGATTGTACATCGAACTAAAAATATGGTTTGCACTCACAAAATTCAGACTCACGCCTATGAAGAATACAAGAAGAATGCTTGAACTTGAGGAATTTGGAATTAAAAAATTGGAATGGGGGTTGCCTTTATATAGGCTTGTTGGTACCTGTTCAGTTTGAACAGAAAAGGTACAAATAAGGGACATGACCATTCCTTTAAAATAAAGAGACACCATGAAAGGATTGCACCCTTTTATTCAAATGGAGAGTTGTACCCTTCCATTCATACTGTGCATATAGCCGGTAGAGCAGAGTTTTAATTGTTATCGTCAGTGTATCTGAGTATGTTATGGGTTGCGATGGTTACAGTTTTGAAAGGCCGTGCTGCCTCGTTTGTGGATTATATACATGTTGATGATTTGTTATTTCCCTTTTATTTAAGGCATGCATGTATTGATATGAATGTATTGGGAACAAACCAAAATGCCATTTTGAGATTTTGGAAAGTGTGAAGGAAAATGGGGTATTTGTGAACATGTTTTAAAAAAAGGTCATTTTGTTGTAAGTACGGAAAGTGGGGGAAGAGTAATGGGCTTGGTGAAGTTGTTTTTCTAAAACTGTTATAGTCATGAAAGTTTGGAAAAATGGGTAATTAAAAGGAAAGAAGGTGAACCGCTTATAGCGTTGAATGAAATGGCTGTTTTCGAAAAAAATTCATACTTATGCATATTTTGTATAAACTGCCACATTACTATTCTAGTATGAGATTGAACATTCATGATCATAGCTATCTGTAAGTTGTTATTGTTGAGGATCATGTTGAGATCTCTACTGGACTATATGTTCATCCCACGTTGTTGAATCTTTTTCAGGTGATAGCCAGGATGTGCTACAAGTTTTTGGATCTTCTTATTTGTTGGCCACAAGGCCTCTTTTGTGTTGGCGGAATGCCATTTATGTAAAAAGGGTTATACCCTTCTTCTTGACTTTAATGATGTAAGCCCAAGGGCAATTTATTTAGTGTACTCATGTTGTATTTACTTGCATACGAACGAGAGCAATGTTATTCACTTCTAAAAGTTGAATATACGAGTTTATTTCCGCATGTTATCTCTGAAATGGAATTAAGTAAATGAAATTGGTAATACTTCGAGTAATAAAAAGTGGGGCGTGACAGATAGCACCCAACAATTCCCATATACCTTTAGCCTTCAAACTCTGGTTCATGGTATCGAACAATGAAGCAGAATACGAGGCATGTATCGTTGGCTTGGAAGCTGCCCTGGAACTAGGGGCAAAACGGTTGGACATCATTGGGGACTCGAACCTGGTTGTGTCTCAAGTGAAAGGAGATTGGAAGGTTAAAGAAGAAATGATGAAAATCTATCACCAAACCTTGGATGTTCTGATTCCTAGGTTTGAAAAGCTGACCTTCACGCATCTATTAAGAGAGAACAACAAGTTCGTAGACGCATTATCAACTCTATCTTCCATGATAGACATCCCTTTCGGAGTCCAGATGCGTCTGATCATTATTGAATAGAGGTTTGTGTTGGCCTATAAGTTGATCGCCACAATAGATGAAGTGCAAGATCAGAACCCCTGGTATCATGACATCTGTAACTTCTTGGAAAAGGAAGCTTATCCACTAGGGGCAAATGCCAAACATAAAAGGGCAATACGGCGGATGGCCATTCAGTTTATTATCTGCGGGGGTAAGTTATACAAATAGGGTCATCTGGGAATGCACAAACTATGCGTTGATGCAGAAGAGTCAAAGTGCCTAATGGAGGCTATCCATAGAGGAGAGTGTGGAGCACATATGAATGGAGTAATGCTGGCCCAAAAGATTCTTAGGTAGGGTTACTACTGGCCAACCATGGTGGAGGATTGTATCAGTTTTGTTCGGCGATGACACAAATGCCAGATCCATGCCAACCGCATGAATATTCCGCCGTCAATACTGTACAATATGACTTCACCATGGCCATTTTTAGTTTAGGGAATTGATGTAATTGGGGCAGTTACACCGAAGGGTTCGAATGGGCATGAGTATATCCTGGTGGCAATAGACTATTTTACAAAGTGGATCGAGGCCCAATCCTATGCTGTGTTGAAAACATCGCATGTAGCCATGTTCATCAGGAACAACATCATATACTGTTATGGGGTCCCGAATGAGATTATTTCAGATAATCGTTCCCATTTCAAGAAGGAAGTGATAGACTTGTTGGAGAAATACAATGTGGCTTTTCATAAGTCATCTATATATCGGCTGCAAACCAACGGAACTGTTGATGCCGCCAACAAGAATATCAAGCACATTCTACACAAGATGGTGGAAACCTATAGGGACTGGCCAGACAAGTTGTCATTTGCTCTCTGGGGCTCTAGAACTTCAATTTGGACATCTACTAGGGCAACTCCGTATTCTCTGGTTTATGAGATGGAGGCTGTTTTGCCAATCGAAATTGAGGTACCATCGCTACGAGTTATGGCAGAATGTCAGATAGCAGAGGCGGATTGGCAGCAAAACAGGTTCGAGGAACTAATGCTATTTGACAAGAGGAGGCTGAAAGCATTGTACCATGTTCAAGGTTATCAACGTAGGATTTCCAGGGCTTTCAACAAGAAAGTTAAGTCCAGGAATCTGAAAGAAGGGGATTTAGTGCTCAAAGACAACCGAGCGCCCATCCACAAACTTGACATACCTTGGTTTTCGAAGAGGTGTGAGTATTTGGCTCGCATTTGGCTTTCAGTGTCCCATGTCGCTTCTTCGACACGATGGTTTCTCCATTAGACTTTTACAAGAAGTATAGTCTTGTTTCGAAGGACCTGATCACGACGATCGAGAATTTGCACAGGCTATTCTTCATAAGAGAGATCTTCTTGAACTTTCAAGTTCTCATAATCAACAATATTCTCTGAATCTCGAAGATATCGATGAAGCATCGAAACGTGAAATACATTGTGGACATTGGACAGTTTGGGTAGAAGCGCAAGGCAATTTGCCACAGGACCAATCCTTTCTAGTATCTCGAATGGCCTGATGTAGCGTGGGTTTAACTTTCCTTGTTTTCCAAATTGGATAACCTCTTTTGTGGGTGAGATCTTTAGAAACACATGATCTCCTATTTGAAATTCTAAGTTCCATCTTCATGTATCAACATAGCTTTTCTGGCGGCTCTGGGCAGTGCGAATTCATTGTTGGATGAGTTGAATTTTCTCACTTGTTATTTGCACAATTTTAGGGCCTAACAATTTCCTGTCTCCGACTTTCATCCAACATAGAGGTGATCGATATCTTCTTCCATATAGTGCTTCGTACGGTGCCATTCTAATGCTTTCTTGGTAGCTGTTGTTATAGACGAATTCCACCAAAGGTAGGTGCTCATCCTAGTTACCTTTGAGGTCCAATACATATACACATAACATGTCTTCCAAAGTCTAGATTGTTCTTTTGGATTACCTATTAGTTTGTAGGTGATAAGCAGTGTAGTCCCCAAAGCCTCATGCAATTTGTTCCAGAAGTGAGACACGAAGCAGGGGTCTCGATCAGACACGATTGAAACTAAGGTGCCATGCAAACAAATGATTTCTTTGATGTATAAAGTGGCAAACTTATTAAGGGTGTACGTGATTTTAATTGGCAGAAAATGCACTGACTTCGCTAATCGGTCTACTATAACCCATATTGCATCATTCTTCGAAATTGACTGTGGTAGCCCGACTACGAAGTCTATAGTAATGGAGCTCCAGCTGTGAAGTCAGGCAGTTGAGGTTAGGTGGTGAATGGCATGGTTTATGCTGACAGATGGGATAGCAGAGCTACGTGTCAGGAGATGACTGGGAGTGGATATGGGGCTCAGAAGGTATAAAAGCATGTCTGCGCCCCCCATACGCAACACGAACATCTCTGTAAGGAATTCTTACACCCAAACTCTCTCTCCCTTCTCTCTAGCTATCCTCTGTGTGTGTGTTCTAACTTGATCGTCGGAGGGTTTTTCTGGCCACACACCGCCGGGTAGCTCACCCTTATTGGCTCGCAGGGGATCGGACAGAGACGGAGCTCGGAAGAAAGGAGTACGGGCTCGCCGGAATATTTGCTCCCCGTACAGTTACTAAAAGTAATGAAATACTTTTTGTCACCTCGAGTTTGAACAAATTTCAAATCACAAATATCACTATGGACTAAGTCCAATGGCTCAGTTTTCCATCAATTGATTGAAATGGTGTTTTAGTTAATTTTACTTCAACACACACTTCAAATTTATGATTTGAATCAATTTGAAATTTAGGCAAATAATCTTGGTAAATTAGTCTTCACAAAGTATCATAATTTACATGACCTACTCTACCATGCCACACACAAGAAGACTCAAGCAAGTAAGTAGAAGATGTGTTAATTACATTAAACTTTGGAATAACAGTCATTACATTAAGTTTAAAGAGCCCATCGCTCATGTACCCTATTCCTACACACATTCTATTTCTGGTGAGTACAAACTTATCAGACTAAAACACTAATTTAAACCCATTCTTGCTCAGCAACGATCCAAAAACCAAGTCCTTTCGAATATCTGGTATATACAGCATATCTTTGAGAGTGAGTTCTTTGCTTGACATCATTAGCACCACATTCCCTTGTCCCTCAACTTTGGAAGTCGAAGAATTCCCCATGTAAAGTTGTTCTCCATCTTCTGCCGCATGATATGATAAGAACATCTTTTTCTTGAAACAAATGTGGTCAGTGGCGCTTGTGTCCACCCACCATGCTTTGGGGTTGTCTACTAAATTGACTTCAAACACGATGCTAGATAATACAAGTGCGAAACCATTGCACAAAGACTCTTTTCTTCAGTTAAGTTGGCTTGAGCAAGTTTATTCTTGTAGTTCCCTTAAGTCCTCCTCTTGCGACAATCCTTAGCACGATGTCCCATTTTGTCACACACACTGCACTTGCCATTAAAATTCTGGCTGTCTCCACTTTTAACACCTTGCTTGGAGCTCTCTTCGGGATGTTTCTTTTTCTTATTGTTGACTTTGGCTTATGTTCCACAATATTTTCCCTAGATTCCATGAGATGATGTCCATTTTTATTTTCAGAACCACGATTATCCTCTTCAATCTGCAAGCGAACAATCAAATCCTCTAGTGACATCTCTTTGCGTTTATGTTTTAAATAGTTTTTGAAATCCCTCCAGGTCAATGGTAATTTTTCAATAATAGCCGCCACTTGAAAAGATTCACTAAGAGACATTGCTTCTGCATGATTTCATGCAGGATAAACTTGAAGTTCGTGGACTTGATTGATCACTGTTTTGGAATCCACCATCTTAAAATCAAGGAAGCAACCGACAACAAATTTCTTGTTCCGGCATCTTTCGTTTTATATTTGTTATCAAGCGAATCCCAGAAAGCTTTTGGATCTTGCTTGGACTATACACATTGTATAATATGTTATCCAAACCATTCAGGATATAGTTCCTGCAGAGAAAATCTGCATGTTTCCATACATCCACTGCTGCAACAACTTGTGCATCATTTTCTTTCTCACTAAGAGAAGAAGCATCTTCTCACAAAAACTTGCCAAATTCAAGGTGGTCAAATAAAATAACATTTTATGCTACCAAAGCTTACAATCTGTACCACTAATTTTTCAAGTTTTCACACATGATTGACAGGAACATTACCATGTGAAATAACCGTTCGAATGGAAGCAACCGTTGTAGACACAACGAATGTAGGGGCAATATTTCCCAATGTAACATTACTTTCTATAGCCATTTGTGATTAACAAAAATAATTTATGTTAAACAAAAGATTCCACTGTATATATAACTATAAAAATAAATTTATATATATATACTATAAATTATGTCTTAAAATTGTTGGAGATAATTTTGGCAATAATTAATTAAAGCAAATAAAATAAATAAAGGAAACAACAAAAGTAAACCTTATAGTACTTCTGTAGATAAATTTATGAACAAGTTTATGATTGAGGCTAGTGTTTGAACAATGTGTCTTTAAGACAAAATTTCGTCATCTCCAATGGTGCTTGAGAACAGTGGACGTCCTGTCTCCAGAATACAATAATCACCACAAACAAAGAGAGCACACTCTTTGATTGTACAGCGAATCAAAATTATGTTTTGCACTTACAAAATTCAGACTCACACAGATGAAGAATACAAGAAGAATTCTTAAACTTGAGGAATTTGGAATTAAAAAATTGGAATGGGGGCTACCTTTATATAGGCTTGTGGGTACCTGTTCAATTTGAACAGAAAAGGCACGAAGAAGGGACATGGCCCTTCTTTTAAGATAAAGAGTCGCCATGAAAGGATTGTACCATTTCATTCAAATGAAGTCTATTTCAATTCACGATTGCCTTTATAAAATTTTTAACAAAAGTTACCGTCTTTGGTATATTATTTTTGATGTTGAAGAACCTTAAATGGTTAAACATAATCAAACCAATTATATGCTATGGGGTTGGAATCCTTTTGAGCTCAAATCATGTGTTAGCTTCAATTTGGAAACTCATGGCTCACCTAGCAAAATTGTGATGATTGTTCCCAAAATGTAGTGAAGTCCACAATTGCTTTTGCTTCATTGGATCATGGACTTGGTGTGGGAAAAGAGACAAATGAAAGCATTATCTCTTGTTTAGGTACCAGGGAATGGAAAAGAAGTAGTAGTAGATAACAAAATGGAGAATTTTTACTTTAGATGTCTATCTCCTATTTTTCACGATTTCCAATAATTTTACAGAAAATTTTTAGTTTTTAAGAAGAAGTAGGGAAAATACCAAGGGAAACTGGTTTCCTTCTTTTTCTTTTTCTTTTTCTTTTTCTTTTTCTTTTTCTTTTTCTTTTTCTTTTTCTTTTTCTTTTTCTTTTTCTTTTTCTTTTTCTTTTTCTTTTTCTTTTTCTTTTTCTTTTTCTTTTTCTTTTTCTTTTTCTTTTTCTTTTTCTTTTTCTTTTTCTTTTTCTTTTTCTTTTTCTTTTTCTTTTTCTTTTTCTTTTTCTTTTTCTTTTTCTTTTTTCCTTTTTTTCCCCTTACAATTTCCCAACACCAAACAATGCATTAGTGTTAATGTGTGTGTGTGTGTGTGTTTTGAATTATTGATTTCTTAGGTACTATTGAACTGTTTATTGTTCTTAGAAAGTCTTGAACTACTTTAGTCTCTCAATCTGTCTTCAATTGCTTGCCTTGGGATGTTAATATTGTTATTAAGAATTATAATATTAGTCTCATCAGTGCTTTATTTAAGATTTAGTTATTTTAGTGTAGTTCCTTTATGTATATCTCAAAAAATCTAAATGTGAAATGTTTTGTGCATTTGGAGGAGGTTCAAATATAATTTCTTACTTGTGTTTTCCCAATTCTTTTGTAATTTAGAGGAGATTCAAGCAGCCATTTAGCTTTCAGTTACCTTTTCAAATTTGACTTTCTTTATGCTTGCTTTCATTTGAAGGCATAATATTTTGGTCTTTATTAAGGGTGATCATTGGTTAAATAGTAAAACCTTGACCTAATAACCTTGAGATTATGGGTTCAAATCTTGGGACAATCACTTTGTGCATTATGCCAAAGGTTAGGTATATACCCAATCTTTCCCCCCCCCCCAAACACACATTAATGTGAATTAATTGGGCGTTGTTTTTTTGGCAATGTATTTCTTGAATCTATCATAATCTATCAAAAGTATTGTAGAAACTTTTGGTTTCTTCACTAATGTGCTTCATACTAGAATGCTTCTAGTATGCTTGATAGTACCGATTTAGATTGCACCACCAAGATGTAATCATTAATGGTGCATGCATGCATAAATAGCTTTAGACCCATCCAAGAATCTTCATTAGAAATACTTGGTCATCTTTGATGAAGCTCTTCTTGGATTGTCCAGTTTGGGCAGTTCAGGAGCACAAGTCTATATTGTAGTTAGTAGTTCTACCGCTTACAGTTCATCTGGTAGAGATTTCGTGTAGCAGCTCCTCATGTTCTCTGGGTGCATGCTAGACAAGGTGTAGCAGTGCACCAAGTCTATGTTGTGCACATGGTGAACCATGGGGAGATGCTACCAAAATTTCATCGGAGATTAATAAAGCAGTATGAGTTACTTTTTACAACATAGACTGTGCATTCCTAAATGGGAAAGTAGAATGAACCAACATATTAAAGACTAGTTAGAGGTGAATGTTGTCATGTCGCATGCATTATAAGGTACTTAATTGAGGTTAAGATTAATTAAAATAAAATGGTAATTTTGAACTTTGTTGATTTGGTAATGACATTTGTAGTGTAAGACGGAGTCAGATGGATAAAAGTTGGATAAATCAGCATAGGTTTTCACCCGAAATACATACAAGGGGTCAAGGAATTTATTAAATTTGTATGTGAAAATAACCCAGTGTTGAATGAAGTCACATGCCCATGTAAATGGTGTTGCAATGTCAAATTAGTGGAGAAAGGCTTGTTAGGTGAACATTTAATGATCAATGGGTTTCTTCAAAGTTACACTAGTTGGATTTTTCATTAGCATAATTTGTCATCGCTTGTGCCACACAATGTGAATGTCGGGAAAACTTATTCGAATGATGGTGATGAAACAAATGAAATGCTATACAAGGGATTTGGACTTTGTCCATCAAGCTTTATTCACAAAGCAACAAGCTTTGGAATTAAATAAGGTCCAGATGAAAAACCCAAAAAATTCTTCAATTTATTGAAAGAGGCTGGAAAAGAGTTATATCCTGAGTGTTAGAAGTTTTCATCCCCACATTTTTTGTTCGGTTATTGCATATCAAGTGACTTACTAGATGGAGTGACAAGTTTTTCACGATATTGCTTGAGCTTTTGAAGGATGCGTTCCCAAATGGTGAAACTTTGCCAAGTCATTTTATGCAACTAGGAAATTCCTTAGGGACTTGGGCCTCGATTTTCATAAGGTACTTGTATGCCCAAGAGATTGCCCATTATATTGGAAGGAAACAGCTAGTATGGATAATTGCATATTGTGTCATATGCCTAGATACAAATAGTTTGATGGAAGGAGAATGATGTTAAGAAGAAGCAACGAAGAATTGTTGTAATTAATTGATGGGAGGAGAATAATTTTAAGGACGACTGGTCATCAATGTTTGGTCAGTAGTGTACTTTTGCAGAAAACAGAAGGCAGTGGCTGAAGGTGAAACAGAACAAGCAAAGGCAGACAGTGTTGTTCTGCGACCTTGTGCATGCAACCCGTGTATTAATGCTCAATGCATTGTTGTAATCAATTTATTTATTAGCCTTGTTATAATTATTAGTGTTTATTTTTAATTGTTATAGTTAATTAAACTTAGATAGTTAGATTACTAGTCATGGCTATCCTTGTTGTAATAGCCTAGTTTGCTAATTAATTCTTTAATTTATTCATTCAGTTTTGTAGTAAGTAGTTTAATTAAGATTTTCGGACTTTGATTCGCACCCTCTTGCATGAGGGCAATGTTGTAATAAGTGTTATGTCTTCCAAGCCCATGTCTTTCTCCCTTTTGCTTATGTGCTTATGATGGTTAGTTTAGAAACATCACGTTTCGTTAGCATACTCCATGTTTTGCATCCATTGTCTTACATACAACCAAGGTTCGACTCATCATGCTAACCTGATATCAAATATTCAAACTCATTACTTGAATATGTGCTCTCTCGCATGTCTTGAATGAAATCAGATGCCATGCTCATTATCGAGTCCATAAAATAGATAATATGTGCGTTGCATTAGTCATATTGCATAGTTAAGGTCATGCATTTTTCTAACTCTTTCACCTTTTTTGGATTGGAGCACTAGGTGAGCATTTATTTGCTTTAGTATATTGCATCGAATGTTTGTGTTGCCATACCAAGCATATTTCCATGAGGCTAATTGCTTAAATGATATAACTGTTTGAATGCCTGTGGATGAAGGCTAGTTGCCAAAATTGGGACAAATTGATTAATGTACAAACTGATATTTTCAAGCGACGAGTATTAAAAACAATTTTCAAACAAACATGAAATCAAAGTGTTCTAATATTTGCAAATTAGTCTATACTTGTGTGCATCACGTAGTAAGCTAATATTCGAAATAAGAGCATATAATGTAAATAAAAATCACATCATGATTTGTAGAGGCCGATCTTTGATCGGACGAGGGGGATGCTCAATTCATGACTTTCCCCTCCCGTACCTATGTTCCCGAACCGAGACACTTTGGTGATGAAGGACTAATGG